TAGGTAGCATTATTATATTACGATAGAAAATAATCCGAAAGTCTAATCGAAACGTTATATAGTCTGTGAACTCGGGGGTTAAACAAACAACTGACTGCATTCGCTACATGTCATGCGTCGTTATTTAATTTCTTTTGTTTTTGTGTAGCATTTTCTCATAGTCGGAAATAGTTCAAAGAATCGGGGTCAAGTGTGGGAAGAGTGAATTGAGCTGTCATTTCATAATCTATCTGAGGTTCGGAAGTGTGGTAACTTTAATCTAAATTTTGAAAGTATTTACTATCGTGATATAATTTGTGTCATTATGCAATCATACGAATATATTTAGGAAGTCATACAACGTGTATTTGAAAACAGAATAACTAATTTGATGAATTGTTTTAATAGTTGCATTAAATATTTGTTTAAAAGACGAATGAATCGTTTTTATAGATTTCACTTAGTTTAATATCTACTCAAAAATGTAAAAAGCACAATTAATTCAAATTTAACAAATATTTCTTTTATTATAGTTTTGTAATTGACCAGTCTTACACAATTAATAAGATAAACCAATGACGCTACAACCTTTTTAGGTCTGGGCCTCAGTTTTTTATAACTGTTTCATGATCATTTGTTAATCTAATAGGTAAATGGGTGATCAGTCTGACGCACGCTCTCGACATTTTGGGTCTAAAGCAAGCCGTTTTCCTCACGATGTTTCCTTCACCGTTAAATGCTCACATAGAAAGAACGTTCATTGGTACACAGCCGGGGATCGAACCTACGACCTCAGGGATGATAGTCGCACGCTGAAGCCACTAGGCCAACACTGATCTAGTCATACACAATTAAGTGAGATATTTTTACACTTTTAAAAAATTGCACTTTTCTCGAGGACATTATCAACACAGATTTAGGGACGATAATTTAAATACAATTTTAAATAACGCCTTTTTAAAGACATAATTTAAGCTTCAAACTTCTAAATTTGTTAATACGCTAAAACAATATACAAGTAATTATGGCATTAATAACCTAAAAGCTGGAGCAAAGTTACAATAGACGTTCATATAACTTCATTATAAACTTTTACGAAAATGACTTGGGTATAATGTATGGGCGCTATTTAATAACAAAATTTATATGAATTAGAGAGAGTAATTTAAGATTAATTATTTTTAGCAACAGGCTCATGTGGCTCTCGGAGCAGACCTCAAAACAGTTTAATAGTAATGGGAGGGTAATGTTAGCTCCACAGCGTGCCGCAAACGTGTACACAGTTCAGAAACTAGAAGTTGGGTCTTGGTACATTGGTAACAAAGTACAGGCAAAGTAACGATTTGTACGCATTTAATAACAAGAGCCGGCTTATTTGCCGGATATTAAGAAGCATGCTATAACCAAAGAAAAAAACAGTGGCGCTACATGCCAGGTTGCCCTCAGATTTCTGTACCTGTTCCGTGATCATTTGTTTTTTTTCTTCTGTGCCAGACACACACCGTCGACTTTTTACGTCTAAGGGCTTTCATCACGATGTTTTCCTTCATCGTGCAAGTGTTAAATGAACTCATTGACAGAAAGTCCATTGTTGCATAACTAGGGTTCCAACCGTTAGCCGAACATTTGCTAAACGATGAAACTAAATTATAGTTTAATGTGTAAAATGAAATGGTAGCAGTCTCTGCGGCGACACTAGTTCCAGTATAACATTCGACCAAAGCTCTGTAGAAACATGATGTATTTTTTATTACTTCCACTAGCTTCCAAAACGAAAATTATCTACCAAAGATCACTACACTCTTATCCCTGGAATGCTTGCAGTAGGCATTCGATTTCTGTAGCTTTCAAGCTAAAACTTGTCAACTTTAAGAAACGCATAAACAAGTGAGCGATACTAAACTATAAACACGATGAATATAAGAGAAAAATGTGTCGTGTAATTACAATCTTATCTGTTTGAACATAAAATTTTAGTTTCCAATATTAACAACATCGTTGATAGCATGACAGATTATACAATTTACATAAAAGTCTCGTTTTATTTATCTTTTTAATAATCTTTCATTTAATATGTTGTGCAACGATAAAGCATTTATTCATCGTATCATAGCTAGTCCTACCTCAATTTGAGAAGCAGTTTTAGGACAAAATGTGAATTTACGAATTGTAGTTTATTAAAAAACAATAACAACTTTGAGAACCGAGTCTTTTAGTTATAGTTGTAATTCTAAGTTAACAAAATGAAGGACTTTTTGAAAGAAATTTATTTGTATAATTTCTCTATGCCAAACAGTATTACGCAACTAGTAATTACTCTACTGTGTAAATATTTCAATGATATTTGGGAAGAAATGTATTGTTCTATACTATTTAATCTAACTTTTCAATATAAATCTATTACTTATACGGGAATCGAACACAATCACATAACAGCACATATATATAACAACATTCATTATAGAGAACATCTTGATAAAATGGTTGTTAATATTGTCAAGTGTCTTAAAATATTGCATATGCCTGTGTAAAATATGCCATGTATCGTTTCTTTATAGGACAAGTTTCAGTATATCATATTAAATCGAAATCGTTACAACCGCAGTTAAGAAACGGTTAACTGATATACAGTAACGATTATCGTTTACTGTAACAGCTTGCCCCGCGGCACTACTGGGTCCTATCTAAATGACATTAATCGTTTTCATAGTATTCGCTCATTTGCTTTAGGTAGACCTAGGAGATATAATTACTTGTCGTAAATTATTTTAAAAGTAGTGAGCTTGTTGAGAAGAAACACATCGTGCACAGCTTAGACCGAAAAAGTGTACGGCGTATGTCAATTGTCATAGGGTAGTCACCATCAGCGATTATTAATTAAAAAAAACCTATGAAAGAACTGTAACAAACCGAAAACCATTACGAATTAAGTTTTACCTGAACTAGAAATAAAATAAGAATGTAAAAACTCTTTTTCACTTTTTTATCTTAACACTCGCGGATAGTGCCTTTATTGTCATAACAACATTTTTCAAAAAAAAGTTTTTGAATGGCTGCTGTTGGCCTTAAGGGCCTTTACAGCTCAGCTCGGGCTGTTTTGGCAAGCGTAGCTCGGCCTGAATGGTTTTGACTTTGATTATTATTAATATTGGCCGCGTGGGCGGCTTTTAATTTATTTAGCTACGGTAATTGGATCGTACATCTTTCAAAAACAATTTTTCATAAAATTATCCGATCTTACATAACAAACTGCTACTGTAACACGACTACTATTTTGTACTAGGCTACTTCCTTCGTCCCACTATTCATACAGTATAAACCTATGTATTCCTTATTTTTCTGTAGAAAACAAAACAGTAATAAAACATACGTTCGTAGGTTTCTTTAAATATATTTTTCTGTCATATTTCAAGCTCGAAATTGGTGTCTTATTTTCTTTGACGATGGCTTCGAAATTCACAGGACGACTACCTATTCTAGTAAGGTGTTCTTACTATACATTTATAATTTATGTCTCTCAAGTTCTTTCTTTAAAAAAAATATTTCTTTTCTTACATCACAAATTATTAACTTCGTAAATTTCTAACGACTGTGATTTAGGTTATGAGATAGGACGTTTGATGTGAATACGAATTCTAAATATAAGGTTAGATACAATTATAAACATTCAAATATTAATTTAAAATATTATCTTAAATCTGTAGGGTAGAATTATGTTACAGTAATGTAAAGTAAGTTCTTATTAATCATTTGATCCCTAGAAAAGTTCATAGTACAAGGCTGAAGCAGATGGTATTCTTAATATAGTAAGGTTAAGGAAATTATAAATAATTGAATGCAGCAGAATTATTTTTTTACTGGTATAAGATATTTTCCATTCGCGGTTACATACATTTTTGACATACGAATAATTTGTGAAAACGCGTTTGCTCTGAACAAAATCTCAGGAGAAATCAGTTGGTTAAATCTTTAAAAAACGGGAGTAAAAAGTGAATGGAAATAGGAGCTTTATTTGACTTCAAACGATTTGTACTCTATGAAATATTTATTCCGTGGAGAGCGGTTCCGATTTTAGTTTTATTTGTTTTAACCCTTGAGGTAAAATGGGGCTTTATAACTTCGGCATGTCTATCTGTGGTTTTAAAACGGAAGGCCCTTGCTTCAATTTGTTTTATTTTTGTAACGTTGACTTATTTAGAAGAATAGATTTACATGTAGTTTTTATTTAATGATTACCGTTTAGGTCATCTTTTTAGTTACCTTCCACAAATATTTCAAGATCATAATTAGCCAAGTCGGTCCAGCTTTGTCGAGTTTTAGCGAGACAAACGAACAGCATTTCATTTTTATATACATTTATAGATTTATATTGTAAATGGGCACTTTCTTATTTAATATGACAACACAAAAATTTAATTTGTAAAAGATCTTTACATATAAAATTCACATTCAATGTGTCACTCTTATTAAAATCATAATTTTCATCTTCATGCAGAGTAATATAAATTAAACATAGCGCAATAATTATGAACATCACACGGCGTGGAAGTTTTAACATTCAAATTATCTCATTCATTATAATTGCATTAAAGTTCTGTATGTTAAATACATATAATTTTAAAAGCATTTTAATTGAAATGATATATGAGAAGCAACATAATACGACCCAGGATTATTAACGCACAAACAATAAATAAAACAAAAGTAAGAAAGCAATTTCAAAAGCGCCAACATTGTATTCATACTGTAACGTAATAAGTAATAATACTGAAAGAGATGTATTCCAAGGGTAAGATTCAGAAACAGGTCTTCGCGCTATGACACCCGTATGTCAAAATTCAATTAGTTTTTGAGTCCCGAACTTATTAAAAGATGTTCTAGAGATAAACAGCTAGCTTAATACTTCTATAAATAGCGAATAACGAGTTTAAGTTCTTAATATCACCCACAGTTACTACATCTATTTCTTGAATGACAAAAAATCATAAATGAAAAACCTTTATCATCTTCTTTAGTTAAATCTACAATGCTACTTTTATATAGTCAGCATAATTTAGCAGGCGGAAATTAAAACTTAACGTTCTTAATTTAAATTTTAAAAAACCAACCTTTTTAAGTCCGGCCAGTCTCAAAGAGCGCTGCAGCTTCGCCGCTCTAGACGTCGAAAGATAAACAATAGGTACTGCCTCTCCCGTCTCTAACGAAATATCGAAGTCATTAACCGCCCCACATAACTTATAATCCTCGTTTCCTCCTTCCTCTTTGACTTCCCCGGTTATTGGATCAATGTAATAATTAAACTTAGTTTCGTCAAAGCTGTTTCTATGACTTTTAATTTCTTCTTCTGACGGATATGATATCAAATAGTTTTCTTCTTGATTGTCTTCGATTGTAATTGAAGGTGTTTTGGAATCGAATGATGAATGCGAATACGCGCATTGTAAGTCGCACTCCATGTTTGTATCTGATAAAATAGTGGGCGTTGAAAGGATCTCATTACAAAACAAATACCGATAAATCATTCACCATGATTATTTGATACACAATTACTATTTGATAGTACATTTTATAAAATATTGTTTTATCTTAAATTGTCTCTTACCGTACCTACTATTTTTTAATTAGATTAACAAAAACGTTTGTATAACTTTAAATTGAGGACAGCAAGATGATAAGAAAATTGCTTACCGCCAAGCGAGAATTTTTGTAATTAGAACGTGATAAAGAAAAACAGACTTTAAAATTAGAACAGTTGGTAAGAATTACAGAGAAATACATTAAACGGTTACAAGTACTAAACGATGACTCAGAAAATGAAAAACAAGTTAAAAATGCAAAATTTTGCATGAAAACAGCGAGGTCACGAAAAATTATTTACCCAACGTGCGTGAAAACATAATTTTTCTAAAATATGACCGGTGTTTGAATAATTAGCGCAGAGGACCCTCGTCACAACTTTACACCCTTCTTGTTGTCAAAACATTTAACAACTTATACTGATACGTAACACAATATTTTTGATCCCAACATCTGTTTTCGAAACTATTGGTTTGAAAACGTTACCTCTACTACATCTTTTAACCCATTTAATCGCCTGATATTGATTGATATTGTCTGAATGATATAATCACAATATAATATAACTTGTTTTGAAGTATGTAGGTAACTAAAGTGTCACCTATGAAAACTTACGTCTTTTTTATGAACTATTTTATTGGTAAGTAAGATATTCCAAGCCGATATATATCTATAACCTATAATAAACATATTACATAAAACTTTTTCGAAATATTTTCTAGATACAGAAAATAATCGGAGGCGATTTTGAAGGCCTCTAAAGAAGTTGATATCCAACCGTTGAGATTACGTCTCATATTTTCCCCAGTGAGAATATGCTGAAATGAGTTTCCACTTCGGGAAAAGGTACTTACATAGTTATGTACATAATATAGGTATATGGGTGGTATTTAGCCAATGTTGGTACACTAAAGAATGTATCCATTGAAACAATCGTTGTTTAACCTTTACCAACAAGGCTATTATTATAAGTTGTATTGCCAAGTTAATAGCGAGTTAAGTTTGTCGTTGCAACGCGCTGTAGCCGTCTTAAATAACATAGACACAACAAGCGTACCCAAGTTTTGCTTTACAACTTCAAATACATACTGAGACGTGAGTTTTGTTCTTGTTTAGTTATGCAAACACATTAAATACTAAAAATCGTTATTCTAGCCAAAAACAACAGAGAGGGTAAAATACTTTACCTTTTTTTTTTAATGTCTTTATAGATAAAAAGTCAAATGTTTAAATGCTAAAGGATGAGTAGGATTATTAACTTTATAAAATACTGGTTTCTGGTACCACATATTTTTTACCATGACGACGATTTATGGTTGTTGCTATGGCAATCATAAATGTAAAACTTAATAAAATACCCCGATTGGAAAAGGAACAGTTTGTAATTCAAAGGACAGAAATTAGTCGTGAAGCTCAGTCAGACACAGAAACATACGTGTAATATACGTACTCTATTTTGAATTGGATCAATGAATGATGGACTGCCCAGACACAATAAGATAGTAACAAAACCAATGCAATGTCGTTGCCCTGCGTAATTGCATTCCAGAATATCAGTTCTAATCATGTTCTAGTTCCTCATTCTTTCTCGAAGATTCTAGTAATACCTGTATAGCAAATGAAGTCTTAACTTCACCGCTTGATTGTTCAAAACTGTTTTTATTAAATATGGGATTAAAATTGCTTTATGGTGATGGTTGAATATAAGAGTTTATAATTTTAAATTCAAAACAAACTTTTTTGAACTGATTAAAGATTTATTTAAAACAAATAAATTTAAAGTTAAAGTATTGGTAACATCGGGTTTGTTTGAATAGAACAAGTTAAGTATTTATGCAATTTCACAAAAGCTATTTGTAGCTTACTTGGAATTTCTATGTCCCACTGGTTTCAGTACACATTTCATTTTATTTCCCGGAATCAAACTCATAGCTCTGCGTATAAATTTTCATTGGCTATGTGCAATACAAAAAATGTATTTACTGTGGAAAAGGAACGGATATTTCCGTTCGTTACGTTCGTTCATGATACAAATTAAACGAATGTGCACCAAAAAACCTAATTATAATCATATTCATATTACGGTCCTCAGCTCCATAGTGATATGCTAACAAGGCATTTCTATGAACAAAAAGTTCCTAGCGATAAGTTCCTTAAAAGCACGATTGAGTACAATAAATTATTGATATCTCATAACTTTAAATATACATCAATTAAATTGAAATGAGATTCACCTGCGCCGACAGAGGAACTTGAAAACACTTGAGTAGCGCTTAGAGTGCAAAACATTAAATAATCGTTTTGCAATTCACGGGTTTGTAAGGAGTTTAGAAGGCTTACTTGTTGTGTTTTGATGAACTAGCCATACTGCACTAAATATCCTAGTCTGCGGCTAGTTCTATTGCAAACATCTGTTGTGTATATTTATAGTGTGTTTTACCATTTAAAGACATATTTTTGACTAAGACTTTCGTTTTTAACTGCTTTATCTTTACTTGCATAAAATGAAACAAGTGGGTATAATTTCTCCTAACCTCCATAACCTTTTAGCGTCACCAACTTTTATACACTTTTTACATCGATTTGATAATGCATCACAAAACCCACCTTAACGTTAAGAATATGTTTGTTTGTAAACACATGCAATTGAGCAGCTATCGTTATCATGAGATTGTTAAAATAGCTTAATTGCAAGAGCTTATAATATGATTTTTAAATTAGGATTTCGAAGAGACACTTAGTTTATGAGTTATAAAGATTAAATAGCTACTTCAATATTTACATGAATAAGGGGGTTGTGTGTATATGGTATCTAAATTAATATCCCAACATATAACAAATTTGCAGTGTATATAAATAATATATTGTAATACATCTCTCAAGGCATAACTCACACAGATCTATTTAACAATGATTGTCTAGTCTAATCACCCAATACTTATTTACTTACGCTTTTGGCATACAATTAAATAATAATAAGCATAAACTTCAAAAAACACAACGGCAGGCCTTATCGCTACTAAGCGATCACTTCCAGTCAACCCGAATTAAAGGCTTCTACATATTGTGTTCATTTAAGGTAGATTTAATTTTAAAGTATTGGTACGATATTCATGAGATGCAATGGAACGATTTGGCTGCCTAATATTAAAACGCTATACTTGACTTTTTAAATAATGATTCTTATATTAAAACCGGTATAAAAATCACCACTTTGAAACAGCAGGAAGCATTATCCAGATGTGACACGACAACCAATGCAAGACTTATTTTATGTAATGTGTTCCTTTGTATATAAGTCATAATGTAAACATATCTTTAAGAAATGCGACTTAAACATTCTTGGATTATTTATGTCCCCTAAGCACCGAAGGACTGCCAAATATATTGAGAACAAATATAGGTTATATGAAAACTCGAATTAATTAATATTATTACACGGAAAGAGACAAATTTTATCCTTTCAACACACCACTGAACACTTAAAATTCGCCCAACGACTGCGCACACGCCGCGCGTCGGATTCAGACTGAACGAATCTAAATCTGAAATAAGTATATTTTCAATTTTCACTTGCTGTCAACATCCGTACTGACTCATTCTCATATATTGTGTGGAATTACAAAATACTAATGAATGCATAGGTCAGTATTTATTATGCATTTTGGAAAAAGTTTATAACAATCATATGTTTACCACGATGTCAGAACTTGGAAATTTATACTTGGAAGTTATTTAATCGAAATGAATAAAAACAGAGCGAACTTATTAAAATATGTATTAGAGATAAACAGCTACCTTAATACTTCTATAAATCGCGAATAAGATATCAATACCGACTAGAAATAAAACTCTTTAGGTAGTCAAATTTTGAGGAAAGTGGTAATGAGTCTGACTGCTCTATCACCAACCGGAAAACCATTATAGTCTCACCAGGAATCAAACTCAGGTCTTCTGGATGTTATTCACCTTAACCCGTGTTCATGATGGCGAACTTCTCATACGGTTCTCAAATAATCTTCAAACCACAGGTCAGACCAGATACAATTTAACACCGCTGTTTTAAAACCACATAACCACATATACGTGAAACCGCGACCTTGTCTGCGCTCGCAGCGAATTTGACACAGTGCCAAGAGCCAGAATACTCAGAATATCGGCGAGACCACTGAACACCATCAAAGTAAGGGCTATTTCAATATCCGCTTTTAGTGTAAATATTGGCATTGATAAAATAAACAATATATATATATATATATATATATATGATACACTATATGTTACAGTTATTAACATAATTATTTGACCAGGCTAAGTACTAAATATTTAAATAAATAAATCAAAATACCTTTAACTTACTGCTAAAACGTAAAAACAAAGAAATATAAACATTTTTTTACATACAAAAATATTATATTATAAATTACACTTTAAGTAGGAACACAGGTATAGGAATTTTTCTATTACAGAAGCCACCTGAAGCCGGTATGAACCAGCAGTTTTCGTCCAGAAAGGTCGTCCTTCCATCGTATTTGGGATCCTCCTTTGCACCGCTTTTTTTATAGAATAGGGGGGAAACGGGCAGGAGGCTCACCTGATGTTAAGTGATACCGCCGCCTATGGACACTCTCAATGCCAGAGGGCTCGCGAGTGCGTTGGCGGCTTTAATTTGCATTAGTATGATCCTGTCTATGATGTGACTTGTTTTGTCTATCATCTTAAAACCTAGCCACGTGGTCCGCCCACATTCATTTTATTGAATTAAACTAATTTACCATAATAAATAAATCTATTCATAAGCTAAAATGATTTGTTAACAAATCGGGCATTAAATATCGTAGTGGAGTTGCACTATTCCTGAGGTATTTAATTATTAATT